TGTGTGTGTGTGTGTGCTGATTTCTGTGTGTGTGTATATAATAATATCGTCGGTGTTTGCTCTCTCACGTTTGCATCTGAGACAATGAACATCAACACTGATGATCTGTACCTACATCTCGGCTTCTAGAAAAGAAACAATCTTGGAAGACTAAACTAATACTATGGGTTTTTTTTTCTTCTTTTTGTCTAGAAAATGTAGCTTAAAAAAATGTAAAACGAATTTTTTTTTTCTCCTAATTTCTTCATCTATCGAACTAATTAACTGATAAAATCAATTTAGATTTCAGTAGTTGAGCAAGGCAAAAAAAAAAAAAATGTGGCATAGGCGTGAAATATAAATTTATGGATGAAGATAACGACAACATAGGATACTTAAAGTCAATATATCAAGGAAAAAAATCTTTCTGTTTTCCATTTCTTTTGCTTTTCTTACAGGTTTCATCCTACTTATCGAAATGATTTCCACAACTCTCAATCACAACAGTTTTTTTTTGGCTGCCAATATCGCAACTGCGGTGACCAACAAAAAGGCAATTAAATAGTTGCAAAATTAACAAATATAATAAACGATAAAGGACTAAAAAATTGAAAAAAAAATTAACTACAGAAATGAATTTGAATTTTTTGCATAGTCCAATTTCGCAGTCAAACAATCCTCCTTTGTTTCTCAACACTTTTCGTCAACATTTCTGTCTACTTGTTTGAAATTCAAAACGAAGGCGGTAATCTTCGCGCTAACAGTTCAAATGGAAGTAGAATATAAAAAAAAAGTATGAACCTTTAATTCACAGAACTAAGTTAAGCTTTCTACTGCAAAGCAATAACAACGAAATATTGTCGCCAACATTGTCATCAACCATTATTATCAGTATGCACCATTGTACAGATTGCTGCTGTAAGCAGAACTTATCAGAGATGTTCAAAAAAACCAACCAATATTTATCAAAGACTACACACCACTATTTGATCATCGTCAGTTCAAGAAAATGTATAACGAATAGGACCAAAATTACCTACTCACGTCTAAGTTTTTTACCCCTTTCTTATTTTCAGTTGAAATGTCAAAACTATCATGATTATAAAAACGGTTTAGTTAAAGAGCAATCTTACAGAGAACAACAACAACAACAACAACAACAACAACAACAACAAACAACAACAACAACAACAACAACAACAACAACAACAACATACCAACGAAACAATTGGTAGTCTTTTACATCTGAACCAACAATGCTCAGAAAATAATAACGGATTCAACTGACTGACTCATCAAGTCGTTAAAAACCCCCGTTTTTTTTTTATTACTGCTCTACCAGAAAAAACAGCTGTCTAGACCGAACTCCTCCTTCCCCTGCCGGTTTGTTGCCGTTCGTTCGGATCCCTTTCTTTTTTCTTTTCTTTACTCTGTGCTCATTCTTTAATCCACCTTAACCGTCAACTAAAGAAAGTTCAAAAAAGTGATACATGAAGATTTAGAAATATTATTCGGTAAAAAAATGAATAAACTTTTACTCTGAATAGACTTAGCCTACCGTAGTTTAAGTAGAATGAAGCTAGTCAACTGTATCAATTACTACAAACATTCTGCAACACTTATAACATGAGTCTGATAAATAATTCACCACAGATACACAATTAATTCACTGACCATCGTCGATAATACAGCATATACATAGAAGTTTGTAAAAGAAAAGTGTAAAAACAAATGATCAATTATTAGAGTTTTTAGTAACAGCAATGATGTTTTGATGAAATAC